ATTTAGATAGAAGATATAAATATAGTAGAAGGATTATTTCATAATTTATAAAAGCTTTTAAAGAAAACTTAATCTTCTTAGAATGGCGCGTTGTGACTGTTGGGTACTGTACAGTTTTATCGCGAGGCTCCATACAATGGTTAATTATGCTTATCTCAGACTTCCTTGTTAACCTTATATGCTAGTGCCGGCTGAGGTTAGTTAGTCAAATGTATTGGAAATCAATGAGCTTTTGCATAGAAAGCGAGATTTCCCTTTGGCTTTATAATTTATATGAAATAGAACTAAACTTTTTGTATTAGTTTTAATTTGGATCATATTTAAAATTGCCTCTTTTAAAAAGCCTATAGACCTATAAAATCCCATCTGTGTCCGAAGGCCGATGCCACTATGCTATCAGTTATGATAACAATCTATACAATGTGATAATGAGTTTAATGAACTATGTACACTGTAAAATCTTTATAAGTATATTACATAATACATTACTCATTCTAAAATTATTGTAATGTTTTCTAGTTTTACATAGAGATACTAATTTCAAGTTAAGAAAAATTTAGATATCTAGAGATACTAATTATTAGGCTAAAATCAATTTCTCAACATGCGTTCACCTTGTCGTGGTGGGGGGGTTCATTAGCGTACGGCAGTTCAGACGGGCGCGAAGACAAGAAACGCACTGGGAGGTGGCCCACTTCGGTGAGCGGTATACCATGCGGGTTGCTCCAGGTACTTCTGAGACAACAGAGTGGACCGTGGGAGCTACCCCATGGTCGTTGTGATCTGCCATCGGGGCGTCGTGGTTGAGTGCGCAAATGATCCTGCGACGCCCCATTAAGTCGGGGGAGGTTTTGTTGGGTTTTAGTGGGTATTTCTGGCATTTCTATCCGGTGACTCCCACATAACTACCTGTGGTATGCATTTGCATTTCCCAACATAAAAAAAAGTAAGTAAAGCTAATACAAGCTTTCTCAAAAATAAAAGTATAACAACACTTTAAAACGTACAGGTATAAACGTTATGTATATATGTTTATATGTTACGTATATATCACTATTAACATAATAATTTTATTGTACCTACATTAAGGATAACTTTTATATTATTTTAAGATTTATTTTTTAAACCCTTCAAAACCACTTTTATCCGTATTAATTAATAATATTATAAATGTGAAAGTTTGTGAGTATGTATGGATGTTTGTTACTTTTTCACGTCAGAAAGGCTGATCGGATCTGGATGAGATTTGGCACAAAGATAGATTATAGTCTGGTATAATGCATAGACTACTTTTTATCCCGGAAAAATGTACGGTCCCCGTGGGATAGGTTTGTTTTTGTGTACCTAAAGGTGAATCCGAGCAAAGCGAGGGTGAGCCACTAGTCAACTATATTCTAATAATTATCTGTATCGGAAAAAAGTTATTTTAAATCAGAGTCTTAGAAAAGCATTTGTTAATAGCTGACAGGTTCAAACGTATCAAAGTTTCTGCCAAGCGGACTTGGCAAAAGTGCGTGACTGGTGAGTGGTGTAACAATATGTAATTATTATAGAACAGCTGCCTCTTTCGTTACGGACGGGTGAACTACCGAATGTTATTTTACTATAAACTGCAATTTGGTTAAAGCTGCATTAGTCATAAGTTTTTAAGCAATCATAATATATACATAAATAGTGTTTGCTGGAATAATTTGTTGATTTTGGCATTATTAAAAATATATATTATGTTTTTTTTAAGTTCAAAAATGATCTACAATTTTTATTTTAAATATTTTTCTAAATGTAACCTTTTTAATAATTAAACATTTTTATTTTGGTTTTCTGGTCCATCGAGATCGATATCAACTGTACATACGATAAAAAGTGGGTTAACTGCAAGTTTAACGCGTCAAGTTTAACGTACAATAGAGTCCAATTAAGGTGTCAAAAGTCTTATATAAATAAAATTCTTGAAAATAAGGTTTTCAAAGTACTTACATAAATTATAAAACATTTATTCAAAAAAATATTTCGAAATACAAAAATATGTATATGTATACATACATATTTCAATTAGGTACTACAAATAAAAATAAATAATTTCTAAGCAATTTAAATAATAATAACGAGTAACAATATTTTTTAAGTAAAAATCATAAAATTTTATTAATCTATGAAAAGAATCTGTTACCTACGTATGCAAAAGAACGCAAGATTTTATAATTAACTAGCAGAACCCGCGGCTTCGCTCGCGCTAAAACTACAAAAAATATCTAAAAAAGTAATTTCATAAAAACTTTCATCCTCCTATTTAACCCCCTTAAAGGAGAAATTTCGAAAAATGCTAAAACACGTATTTATTTAATTTTATTGAAGAGCAAACACCAATTTTCAAGTAAAGTTTAACAAACAAACACACTTTCACATTTATAATATTAAGTACTTATGGAGGTACGGATAGGAAAATGTAACTGTCAAAGTTGCCGTAAGTGAGTTAAACGAATCAAGAATACGCTTAAATGAGGATGTATTCAATTTATGTTGTATTAAATTGAAAGATGTTGTTTGTTATTTTTTAAAAATTATAGATATTTCTTATCCAGAATTATTGTTAATTTGTTAAATATTTTATATTTAAATTAATTATACTAAAATTAAGGTAAAACCTAAGAATCTAAATCCGACATCCTAAAATTCTATACCTAGAATTTTTCTATTTTATACTTGGTTTATTGGCGCTAAATACATTATTATAAAGAAAATAAGTTATTTTAACTAAAGTGCTTTTTAAGTTGACCACAATTAAAACTCCTAAATAATAGAGCTTCATATTTTATTTCCTATACAACATTCTAGTAGCAACATACTTCCTTTTTTACAAGATAGAAAAAAAGACACCTTTTACCACAAATCCAATGAGTACTGCTGATGAGCATTGCAAGTAAAACTCTCTCTAAATTAATTTCTGAATAAATATATAGGCAAACCATGACTTGTTACAAGATTTTATTTCTAAGTTTTGTAACTTTTTAATGCCGTTACACGTCTATCAAGCTGGAAGATGGATAGATAAGACATTGTAATAGACCGTGTTGCTCCATTACTTAGTATACGTATTCATACGATCAATCCTCATAGCTTGTATTTACATGAATGCAAATTTACTTTACTAAGTAAAATACAACAATTGATACCAATAAGAATTCTTTCCTCGTTTGCGTCTCGACTCAGCTTACTACTTCTTAATGCTGCATTGATGCATTCAATGAATATCTAATGTGTACTCGTTTATTCAAATGCACGGAAGAAAACAATAGGGAAAATGTTGATTTGATACGTTGGTTTGATGGATATGTGTGTCAGATGCTTTGTTTATCAAAGCTCATAATCGTTTGTCATAACACAGTTTACAGTCGACTGCATTACAAAATGCGGTATCTAGAAATTGTGTCAATGCTAAAAGTCTTTTACGCCCCACAACTACTTTATACTTCACTACTAGTGATACAAACCCTTGTCTTGCTCAGGCACGTGCAAGCAAAGACTGAACTAAAGTTTTTAGATTAATGTTATATTATAATGCTAAAGGACCTACAATACTTAATCTATAGGAATAAAGAGTAATCTACATACATAATAAAAAAACGGTAAACCAAGAATAATACATTTTCGCTTATAATTATATATTTTTTACTTTTGCTTCAAGATAGAGTGTTGCATTTGTCGAAACCTAATGCTATGTTAAAATAAACTGAGAATACTATAAAATATATAGTTCAATTAAATAATACCTTGTACCTAATGGTTTTATTCAAACCGAGAGGGATATTTAGCCATGCCGTACATCAGACAGATTTCCTCAACTGTAAGCTGGTATACTAATTATATTATATTAGCAGAACCCGCGGCTTCGCTCGCGCTAAAACTACAAAAACAAATTCTAAAAGATATGTTTCATACAAACTTTCATCCCCTATTTTACCCCCTTATGGGATGAATTTCGAAAAATGGCAAAACATGATTTATTTAATTGTATTAAAGAGCATTAATACCAAGTTTCAAGTAATTCTAATCATATATATATTTTTGAGTTGTATTATAACGTATTTTCCCGTGGGATTGAGATAATCTACTGCGGTAAAAAGTAGCCTATGTCACTCTCCAGCCTTCCAACTATCTCCACACAAAAAATCACGCCAATCCATCACTCACTCCGTTTCGACGTGAAAGAAGGACAAACACACTTTCATATATTAGTATTGATGTAGTACTAATTCAATCTGAATATAAATAAACTACGATTGATTTGTTAAACCAAATTGATTGACATAAGCCAATCATATCAATATTTATCTCCTCAAAGTAGGAAACACTGCAATCGATTTGTAAATTTCATCAGTCACACCTGCTCCGGTCACGATTTCCCTAGTTAAGCAAATTAGATATCGCAATATAAAATATTGCTACTGATATTATCATTTCACATATATGTTGCTAAAGCAAGCATGACAATGATCATTTTGGTTATCTTATTTGAAATAAAAAAATGTCTTATTTTACTCATAGTATAAATAAATAAATTGTCTCCCATGACCGATGTAAATTATAAACTGTAAAGCATTTGAAAATGCGGGAACCAAGAATAAAAATAAATCCGCGAAAAAATCTGAAAAGATAATTTTACTTAAAATGTCATTATTCCTAGACATCTAAGAAAGTATTATAAAAATAGTTTTAGTACCAATGCATGAATTACAAAATCAATTTAACTTGTCATAGGTTTTCGTGTAATTATAAAAAATAACGACCGTTCAACCGTATGTCCTATTCATATTTGTCCCGGTCTGATGAATCCAAATCGCGACGTTCTGTTAATTTAAGCCCAGAAAACATCAACGTAACTCTATGTTAAAAAAATACTAAGAAAAAATATTATAATTAGCTATTACTACTGGTCTAGTTCTATTAACGAATTGCCTACTATATTAGTGGTAGCAGGTTCGATTTCTGCACGAACTTCACTTATTTAATACGCTTAATTTCCTTAACTGCAACCGGCGGTTTTGATACACGAGACGTTCTCTACCAAAAAGAGAAATTAGGATAAGTTATTTGATAATTTCTAAGAAATTAATTAAATTTATAAGAAATATATTGTTAACTGTAACGCCAGCGTGTCCGCGGTCGTGAAGGGATTAATTTTAATAATATTTCGACAAATAGACCTCAACCAATCTGGTAAAGATAATAACTAACAAGTACGTAACAAAAGTAATACTGACCGAAAATGTGGTACAGAATATAAATTCACTTAATGTGCTCTTTTCATCAAAGGCATGTTTAGAAAAAAAAATCAAACCTGTGAACTACGTGCCGCCTCCTCCACTGTCGACGACGTCTTGGTGCACTTTCTAAGGAAGAAGACCAATCTGCATCAACGATGCCTCTTGTAGGTCTTGCGGCATTCCTCGATTCCGCATTTCTAGCACTTTCCAAAAGTATCGCCGTATACTTTGTTATCAACATTGTTCACATGCATAAAACGAATTGTCACATAAAACACTCACTTCACTCTCATATATTACAGTTCATATGGGATCGTTTGAACACGGCCACGTAAATTTATTTTAGTGGTTTATATATGTACATATGTCTTATAAAATAGAATTATTTGTAATCTTATTAGTTATTACAGACTTGTTTTTGCAGTTGTTTATGCGCAAGCACGTGATTCTATCAGGTAGAGAAATTTATTTTATAATATTATATTATAATAAATGAAATCACTTTGAAAAGATTTGATTTGAATATATTTTATAAATTAATATTAAATTTTAAAATTATTTAACGAGTCGAATCAGATTATCTATATAAAATAATAGTTTCATATGTAAGTAATAATCGCGGGAATTAAGGAAGAATATAATTATTTTATGACACTCTTTTTATTTGATGTCTACCATCGCACGACAACATACAAACTGTGCTGGAACGTCACGCCGGAGTGACCACCACCATAATACCCTTCCTAACAACGGGATATTGTAAATTATGCTGCACTCCCACACGCAACGATGACCTATGTAATGTGCACTTAAATAATAAATTTATACTGTCTTATACAGTGTTTTCTATATCAATACTTAAAGTAGTATTCTCTACCGACTATACACATCGATATCATTGATAAGATATGATAATTTGGGTATAAGATATGTTTAATTTTGTGTTTAGAAATCTAGTAAACTACTTGAATTACGCTTATCTCCAAGAAACAAAACGTTATAATATGTTCCACGTAACACTTATGTCGGTAGGACAGAGGAAATAACAAACAAACACTTAATACAAACAATTTATGTGACACACAAACTTTAGCAATTATAATAGAAACCATATTATAAAAGGAAACGTTATTAAAAAATATATAAGCACAAAGCATGTTAAACTAATAAAATTATAAATAATAATAGGTACAATCGGTGCGCTCAAAACATTGTATTGTTTAGTTACAGTACAATTAACTTTGACAACTGGTGTCGTTGACCACTATGCAACAATTCTGAAAATAAACTACAGTAGAAATAGCCGCCGCAATAGATCTCATAGCGTTTGCACCAAGGTTTGTATAAACTTTATTGCTACGACCATTCCGTACAATCAACATAGCTCGACCAGTTTTTTTTTCAATCTACCATGTAAAAGGTAATTTTTGTTATTAATTTTGTTGACAGAAATAATAAATAAATAAATATCTTAGGGCATTATCACACAGCACCATCTAGTTCCAAGCAAAATAAAAATGTGTTTAAATATAATATTTTTTTTAATTGTTTGGCAAAGAAATTGAAAACCGAGATACTGGAGTATATTTTTTATTAATAATTTAAAACACGTTTAATTTTAAACATCGTTAACAAAATTTTACTTAAAAATCATATGCCTAATTCTAAAACATTTCTAATAATGTACCATAAACTTGCCCAAGCATAATAGACATGGATCGTTTACTGCTAACGGATTGCTTTATCTCGGATCTGCCTCGGATAATTGCGAGACTTCCTTTACGAATATAATTTATAAACGACAATAATAATATGTTCGGATGAGCGTCTTTTGTTTGAGCTTATTCGTCCTTAATTGCGGTCCCTTTGAATTCTTGTCAAATTTTGTGACAATTGATTAATTTTTGAAGGATACAATAATAAGTATACAAGCAATTATACTTATTTCTTAATTAAAAAATATAAATTATAATATCATATTGTTGTATATTTTTTTAAGATCGTAGCTTCATTTTCATGATAATGAAATATCTTAAACTAGCGACTCACTCTCGCTTCGCTCGGGCTTCTCCCTAGGTACGTTTTTTTATATTATGTAATCGTATTTATTATGGAATAGATAGACAATATATTGTATGATAGATATAGCCTAATCCTTCCTCAATAAACGGGCTATCTAATGCAAAAATAATTTTTCAAAAGCGGATTAGTAGTTCCTGAGATTAGCGCGTTCAAACAAACAAACTCTGCCTCTTTATAATATAGATTAAAATTTATTCACTTGTGGTCGTATGGCATGGGTAGAATTATAAGGCGATTTAAATTAGTTATAATTGACATAATTCGTATATTTTATAGCTAGAAGGTATCACTATTATTTTAATTGGACCACTAATTTAAATGCGGAAGTTCGCATGTGTACGTTTGTGTGTATGTATATGGAGTATATGCAGTAAGTAACTTATAGGCCACTGTTAGACATCTAAGAAGGTTCCGAGCGAAGCGATGAATAGACGCTCATATATTTCTATAAACATAATGTTACTTCAGTAAAAAAAAACAAATACATTTGTAATTATTTTGCAAATAAAATACGATACTATTGTAAAGTGATTAAAAATATAATGCGAGTCGTAGGCCTCAAGTTCGAGGACAAATTACATATTTATGTAGGAACCGACTCTCTTACTACTTACATATAAGGTTGAGCCTGTTTTATATTGGTATTTATTGACTACCATAAATGGCGATCATCGATTACGAATGATGACATTTTATGCTTAGGTCATAGCTCATCGTTAGATCGAACTTTATAGGCAACTGGAATTTACTAATGCGGCAAGGCTGATTAATTTTATGCTTATTAAATGTAGCCAATTATATTTTACGCTATATTTATTTTATTTTGATAAAAGTATGGTTATATTGTTTAAAAGTATTTATTTTTAATTCTTTTGTTTAGTATATACATAAATATTTATATATTATTATTTATACTTATAATAAAATTCTAACTAAGTCGAATCTGTACATTAAATATTTTTTGGAAAATCTTATTGAAATAGTCATTATTACAGAGGCCAAATCTATAGTTTTTAGAATTTTTGTCTGTCTGTCTGTCTGCCTGTTACCGCACCATGGAAAAACCACTGGAGGGATTTTGATGAAATTTGGCATGGTAATAGTTGGTTATCCGGGTCAACATATAGGATACTTTTTACCGCGGGAAAATATCTCATTTCTGAGAAAAAATACAAAAACTGTAATGTAAGAGTTATACTAATATGTAAAACCTAAATATTTGAATTTTTGGTCATCTGAACGCGGGCAGAGCCGCGGGCAATGCTAGTTTATTTATAATTACAATACTGTAGTGATCGCTTTTCTTATTATTAAAATGTTAAGGACAAATGTTAATTATCTAACTACACAATAAATGCGAATATTTCTGTGTGTGTGTACACACACACACAGAATTATGAATTATTTCAGCGTGAAGGAGTAACAAACACACTCACACGTGTGTGTTTGTTACTCCTCTACGCTGAAAGGGCTAGATGGATTTGGGTAAAATTTGTCAGAAATCAGAATCATCATAGTTAATACTCACTCGTACGTTGAATTACTGAACTTATATTATTGAACAGTTGAACGAGTCATCTGAATGGGCGGTCGTATTCAACCGGTACGACCGTTGACCGGCTTACCAATATTTAAATTTAGATAAATGGATAAAATTTAGTACACAAAAATACTATGACCTTGAATAGCACAGGCCATTGTTAGGCACCTAGCGAAGCGAGGGGAAGTTGCTATTAGGGAACAATCTACAGAATATAGCTACATGATCAGTTCTACGTATCAAAGTTTAATAATATAAGGCAGAGGTTTTCTAAGATTTTATAATACGATACATTTATTACAGTATGGTGTTCAAATAATTTTACAGGTACAACGAACGCTGACACATAGTAAATAGTACTCCAGCGACAAAACAACACAACGGTGTGTCAGCTTTATTTGTAACAATAGATTTTGCTGTCAATATAAAATGTTTAATATTCACTTTATATAGCTAAGAAATATATTAATAAAAAAAAACATGAAATTGGATATGGTTGAGAATATAAAAGCAAGATAAACTGATTTTGTAACGTATAGGATTTTTTTAAACATTAAAGAAGTTATTTATGCATGAGTCATATTGTGATAATATATAATTCTTATATTGTCTTGTCCTGTCAAGGAGCAAGTATTGCGAAAAATATTTTGTATGTGACCTAATTATTACTTTCTAGTAAAAAAATATTTAAGCCAAAGAATAACTCTGTACAATACTAAAGAAACAAAGAAAGATAAGATAGTGAAAAGATTGTCAAATAGCAAATTATTTTAAAATTTATCCTCCTACCAATGAAATTGAAATTTTCTACGAACACTAGAAAATTTAATTCTATACACAAAGAGATTACGTAGGTCATAGATGGTATGCGATATTATGACAACGATCACCAACATTGAACGTCATGGCACAGAGCCAAAGAATGTCATAGCCATAAACTTCGGACTTATGCAGAAGGATAATCACGAAAATTTACACCTGACGTGGCCATGACGCGAAGAATCAGTTGTTTTATTATAATATTTTATAAGACAACTTAACTATTAACATAGAAAATGATGAAATTACAACAAGTTTATAGTGGGTGTCGATTAGGTCATCCGTTGTTCGATAAATTAAATAGTCCTCCTTGAATCATAATTAATCAATAATCATTTTCAATTTATATTATAAGGCTATATCTTGTAAATATATAAAATATTTGTGCCAATGACCTCCGCACAACAAGAAGAACAGTGCGAGCTTAATTCTAAACTTCACTATATCAGTACAAAAAGACAGTATTGTACCGAATTGCACTTTCCAAAAATTTCTCGTGTTATTTGGGTCGACAGTTTAAGAAAGGTTGCACTTGTAAAAGCTGTTCACTCTATGGCACTAAACTTAAAGACGTATTAAGTTTGCGGTGTTTTCGCAATCCGCAATCGCGCTAACCAATCGTCCGATCGGAAACGTCGGCGCCGGCGCACTGGCAAGTGCGTACGCCCTGCAGGACGAGTTCCATTTAAACAGTCGAATGCATTTCGGAATTCTTATTGGGGACGCCATAATTAATTACTTGGAATACAACTTGGAAAAGGTAGATGGCCTTTCTTCTAAACATCCTATTTCCTTAGACA